GAAAAATTGCGAGATACAGTCGCATTCGGCTAACATAAGCATTACTCATAAAATCCAAGGCAGATTAGTAACTATAATATAATGAATGTAACTATGATATTTAACACTGTAATGACTATGTCTGTAATGATTAGTGATTATAATGAAGCCGAATGGTAACCTATGATAGTAATTTCTCTAGTAAATGACGTATTATCCAAAACGATCCATCGTCCAAAATGTTTATTTAGATAATTCGTCCAATACTACATCTTTCGACGATGATTTTTATGATGTTAAATGGTTACATAATTTACGTACTTTGAATGAATGGGAGAAAATGTCAGATGATGGACACATTATCAAATATATAAGGTTAACCCTTTTATCCTCTTGATTTTGATGCTTTTTTTCTGTTTTTGAAATCTAACTAAGCCCAAAAAATTAATGATGGATTGAATGTCTATCAGCGATTGCAAGTGTTCTGTTTCAGGTTCGAAATGTCAAAGCATTACGGAGAACTGGCAACTGAAGTTTTAAGGTGGACGCTAGATGTTTTATCTAGCTTAAAGCGGAAAGAAAAGGTCGGAATTTGTTGATTTACTTTTATTAAAAGTACTTTGAAATTTTGTCGCATATTTTTTACATTATCAAAAGTATTGCCTTCAAGCAACACCCTCGAATATTTCTAAAAGTTTAGTCGAGAAAGATACCACGATCATATTTTTCAGACCGATGAATCGACAAAAACAATGAGAGATTCTATAGCAGAAGCAGCTTTATCACTGTGTTCGTCAATAGGACCACCATCAGTTCTCGAGCCAAAATATCCCTATAAATTAAGCTCCCAATTTGCTTCATTAATACTTTTGTTGCTTGATTATGTTGGCCGAGGTTAGTACCTCTTGGTGATTGCCTGAACATATTTTTTATGCATCCTTCAGATGAATTTTATTGTGGAAATACAGTGTGCGGAATTATTTTTAAACTCTTTTGAATCATAAATACCATCCGATTATTCAATCGAAATGAAATTCATTAATAATTAGGGTTTTTAACGAAATCTATATCTCCATTTATTGCTGACAAACTATTTAGAACAACGTTATATAATGATTTCCTATGCAATTCCAGAAGACGATCCGACAGGATTTCCTTTATTTACAAAGGCATGCACATGTACTAACGAATTTTTGGCTTCACAAGTGGGATACGTTCGGGAGCAGTTCATCGTTCATTTGCTTGATGAAGCTTTTGCTGTAAGTTATAATCTTCCAGTACTTTTTGCTGAAGTTATCACTTAACTTTGTATAAAATAAGAAAGATTTCAAAAAATGCAATAATATAGGATATAGTACGGATCATTCAGAATTACTATTTCTTTATTCCTTTATCGCTAGCTATCTCCACTAAACTAATTACATCTTTATCTTTGATTTCAAATGAAATTCCTCTTGTCTTTGAGATAAAATTTTCATTTAAAATGAAATTTCAGCAAGCATCACATTTATTTGGTTGCTCGTCATTGAATGCATGGGAAACGGAGTTACAATTTTCGGGTGGTTTTCAGCGAACAAATCATTCAACCGATATGTTAGATAACGAGGAAGACAATGAATTAGAGGAATCACTGTTTGATTTAGCTCGAAAATTGCCATTATTTCAACAGAAAGCTGTACACTTGGCGCATTCTGGAATTATTGGTCGAGGTGCGAAACGGCTGGAAGTTAAAACTGTTAAGGTATGATGATTCTATGTTCATTTACCACTCAAGCTGACGAGTAACATGCAGAGGTGTATAGAAATGTGTGCTATGTTCCTCATAAGATGCTTTTTTCACATTGCTATGTTTTACCGACATGTAATTAAACTTATTTTGTCTTTAGCTTTAAATTTCTGCCCACATTTTATCCCTGTTTATGTGTAACGAATGATGAAACTAACTTGTAGATTTTCACGGTTTATTTTCTTTTTTTTACTAAAATTTCAAATTAATGAATCAAAGTAGTATTGCAGGACGGAAGTACGATGCGTCGTTTAGTTTTCTTTGAATGCCTCCAACGATTTTGCAGTACAATAGGGGCAGACCGAAATTTGGTGCCATATCAACAAGTTTACAAACAATTGGTATTCATTATTTTCTGACTACAGTGTATACAGTGTACGTTCTAGAAGTTAGAAAAAAAAGCTTTCCTTTTTTTTTGTTATCCATAGTATATATTACACAAGACAGATCAATAAAGCATGGCAAAAAAAAGTATCCACACGAACAACAAAATCTTTATGGAACATCAATCTTTCAATTGCAATTAAAGATCTGTTTTTCTGAATCGTATGCTATCGGATTTATCAAACTGTTGCTAACAGAAAATGATTGACAGATGGTATTCATTTTCAAAATTTTGCTTATTTATTGTTAGCTTTATAGGCGATACGGTTAACAGATCGAGTTTGCAAAGACGGTCTTGCTGCTAGTTTCGTTTGGGAAGAATGGGAACAAGCACGCGAGATCATCCCGAGGTTATTGGTTTTTTTTTTCACATTAAAATTTCGAAATTTCTTTATGGATGGTTGAATTAAATCCTTCATTGATGGTTTATGTTGTGAATACTATTTCGAAATATTTTATTATAATAAATTGGTGAATTTCTTTGCAGTGATAATTATAAATGCTTATTATATGGAATTTTTTACTATCTCAATTATTTCACCTAATATATCCACATCCTGTACCAATTTTAATTCATTTTAGGCATTAGCTTGAATTTGGATGATTGGAAGGAATTATCTTCCTTTTTAAACAAAATTATTTTATATTTGTAGGTATATCGCAGTTTCGAAAAGACTCACGGAAATTCCAATTATTTGGGATGTGATGTTAGCATTGGCCGAAATGCACCCTTGTCTTTGGTATTGTTGTCCACTCCTGAAAGTGAGTGCAAATTTCTCTAATTTCTTCGAATCCATTTGGATTGATTATAAAATCACATTGAAAGATGCTATTTATTCATATAATTTCATATTTGTTTGCAATTTCCTGTTATGAATATCTAAGATTTATAATATATCTGACAAACAAATGATATCATTTAGTGGAATAGACTAAAGACTTTTGTCGTTAATCATGCTTTAAGCATATTACCATCACCCCATGTGCTATACACTGTTCAATTCTAGTCGTTTCTTATATTTAACCCTCTACCAGTAAACAAAAATACTTCGAGTAAACACTAGATGATCTAACTAATAGATAGCATTTGTTAAAATTTTTCGAAGATGTCTGCTTTATTCTGGAAAATTTCTACCTCTTTTTTAAAAAATTTCACAAAAAAAAGCTTGAAGTTTCTAATAATTATGATATTTCAGGCATACCTTGCTGTTCTTATGATACAGTTTGAAAATAGTTCGGATCAAAAATCCCTACCGCGTAAACAACTTACCAGTATGCTTGACAAATGGTTTTTATTGGCTCGCAAGGTTTGTTCACTTTTTTCCGATATAATTGGTTGAAAAGAAATAGTTTTGATCCTTAGACATATTGATTCTTTTTTGAGGATTTACTTTCGAATTATGATTTCCTTTAGCGTTAAAGCATATTATGAAGCAAAATATTGAAGATCTCTGGAAATGCTATTCTCAAATTTGATTAATTTGACTGTAAAATTTTCAGGATAATAAAAGTTTTGTTGAGGAGTTTAATGTGATTAACGAAAGAAAAGTTCTTCTATTCGTTATTCTTTCATAATTTTGTAGAAAGGTCACCCATTAGATGTTCTGTGAATGTTAAATGTTGATTTTAATTTGAAATGCTATTCGAATATTGTCTGATGCACTTAACTCATGTCAAAGAAGATAACATTGTGGGTGAAATTCGACTCTTGAGATTTCAAAAACTGATTGCTTAATGCCATTTTTATATTTACATTTAGTACTCAATTTTTCAATGGTGTTTCAGGGGCAGATGTTACCGCAACAAATGGTTTATTGCTTTGAATTAATTACAAGAGTGAGTTATCGCGAGGGATTCGTCATTTTACTTGATATCTGGCAATATTTCCAGGTGCAGTTTTGCTCTTTTTTTCTTTTTTCGTTTCGTAATTTTGGAACTTTAAATATGCGATATTTCCGCCAGCTTTCTGTTATAATTTATATTTCCTATGTATTCAGTGGCATCTCTTTGACGCTAGTTTTTTAGAGATATCAGTTTTTACCGAAAATTCTAGACTATCGCGGGTTTTTTGACATTTGTTACTATTTGATAAATTATGGATATTTTCATTAAAAAGTATCCATAACAGCATCTTTTACCTTCGTTTTAACATACCATCAATAGGATTAATAACAGCTTAATAAGAGAGATCTGAGCTTTATTTCTATTGAATTTCAGTATATTGTATTTTAATTCTTTTTTTAAAGTTCTTAATGACCATTACTGATGACAACTTTTAGTGACAGTTATTTTAATAAAGGTCTTGAACTTGTCGAAATAACTTCCACTTTTTTAAAAAGTGGGACTCAAACTACACATAAAACAGTATATGCGCATTATACGTGAAGATAGAGATTGATTGAAATAGAGGTAGAGATAGATATTGCAATGAATTAGGAAGAGGCAGTCAATACACGATACTATACCTCACTAAAATGGGATGTGTTCTCTACATGAATCGTATTCATATTAAAAGAGACATTGAAAATTGAGAATTATCAATGAACTGAAATCCATATAAGCATAATCCAGCTAAGTCATTTGTTGTTACGCTAAAAGTTGGAAAATTTTTCGAAAGTAATCTTTTCGCTGTAATAAAGTGAAAGTTTAAATTAAGTTGTCAAGCGATGAAAAATACTGATAGAAGTGTAATAATGAAATAATCTAATTCTAGAAAAAGAAAAATATAATTTCAGAGTGTTTTGGATGCAGAAATATCAGCAGTGAATATGATCAATGCTGCATTTGAGCGATCATTGAATTCATCAATCGATCCTATTCAAGTAAGTGAAATTTGTCAGAAATAAATTATTCCAGTTCTTTACTTTAAAATCAGTTTAAATTCGAATTTTGCTTGATATAACTAATCAGTTTAAATTTCGTGAAATATAAAGCTATAGATTTTAATGCAATCTGTATAGATTCCAGTAACGTTAAAAGACTTGCTCATTACTATAAATGATAGATAGCATTTTTTTTTTCATTCTCATCCGTTAAAATGGGTTCCGTTGATATGGTAGTCGCATTTTCAATCTCCAAAAAGCATGAATTATTTTTTTGGGAAAATAATTATTATTTGAAGTAACATTTTGATGCTATAAGATGCGTTTATATTCCGTACTTTCATATCACTCATCACCAATACTTATTTTTTAGTGATGCTCTCGTAATTGTCCAATTTTAGAACTGTAGTTGCATTAACTGTAATCAAATACATGAGTTTGAGGGAAAGTAACTTTTGCAGGGTGATCCGACCAAATTTCGAGAATCATGTCGTATTGTCATACAGCGCAATATTGCAAAGCTCGGTTTTATTTTTCCATTAATATTTGCGGACGAGTTAAATTCAGGGTCTGTAGTTCCGGCCAGATAAGCTGAGAAGTTTGAATCAATTGATCCACTAAGTTAAATTTTTGTATATTTATGTTTTTTTTTTTTTCAGTAAATGTCATCCTATTTGAAGTTATAGTTTGTCGCAGGATACGCTTACCATGTACATTTTATTGTTCCAGTAATTTTTTTTCTTTTTGTGTTTCTAGTTCAAAGCTTTATTCGGAGATAGTAAAGTAATGAATTTAATGCTAAGTTTTTCTGGTTTCATTTCGCTTACACTCAAGTTTTACAAATGCTATTTTCTATTTTTTATTTTTTTTTATTTTTTGGAATTTATTCTTCATTAATTATTTAAATTTCATGCATAAATTGAAGATTGAAAGTGATTGCTTTTCTTTTTTTTTTTTTCAAAAACCTTGCTGTATTATTACCATTTTTGGATTTGAAAAATGATAACTGACTGCTTGTTTGCTTTTTTATTAGTTAAATACGCTAGCATAAATGGCGTTTTTTTTCTTTTTTTGTTTTAGTTTTCATATTTAACAGAAATATCTTATTGATCTCATTGTAATATGAATTATTAGTTTGTTCACACTTGTCATGCCTTATTTTTAATTATAAAACATTCCTTCAAATTTTGCTCCTTTTTTTCCCCTTTAATGGCGAATGCTATGAATCATAATTTGAGGTGGTTTTTTTTTTTTCAATAAATCTTAATGTTAACAACTTTGCTATCATATGCTTATCATTAATTAAAACTCCCTTATTTCATTGGTAATTTTTCTTTTCACTATCACCACCATCAATTTCCATGTGAATATATTTGGTGATTGCTACAAAATCGGAAAATTATATCTTACTTATAAAATTTCTTGATATGACAGGAAGAATCTTTTCAGGACAATTTGAAAAAAGAAATTTAAATTTATCTGGTCTGGAAAAGCAATTCGCATTTGTCTGATCTGAAGAAAGAAAGATTTATCTGATCTGACTGACAAAAGGCAATTGAGAGTTATCTGAATTGAAAAAAAAGGAATTCAAATTTATCTGATCTGAAATAAGAAGTTTAGGTTTGTCTGATCTAAAAAAAAAAAACAAATTCCAATTTATCTGATCTGAAAAAAAGCTTAAAATTTCAATTTCAAAATTTCCACGCAATATCGTTTATATTTTAAACGTATCCTAAGAGATATACAAAAGATTAAAGTCTTGAATTTTAACTTTGATTTTTTTGTTTTTCGTTTTCTTTTTTTTTCTCAACAATTTGCATAACAAAGGTTAATTTATTATAACGTATAAAATCATGAACAAATAATCTGTTGATAATATTTTGCTAAAATGTCAACTTGGTTATTGGTTGCGACAATTCCAACTCTTTCATTCATTTTGCCATTTCTATTTTACATTTGTCCATCTTTCTTTTCTCCACTTTTTTACGGTCATTACAGTATGTTTTTATGTTTTAATTTATCGAAAAATGTTTTTCTCCTTTTTTTCTTTTTTTTGATTATTTCTTTAAGAAATAATTTTTTTATCTAATTAAATTATTAATTAGATTGAAAATTTCTTTTCCTATTTTTTCATTATTATTTTAATAGTTCTGTAATGCAATATTTCTTATACAATATTTTTTACTTGTATAACTCATCTCAAATATCTTAAAAATCAAAAAAGGTGAACTAAAATTGTTAAGAGTTGTACGGAATATATATTTTTCGGAAATTTCGAAGCAAATGATAAAGACTATTTTGTTTTGTTAACTTATCAAATATCTTTAAGCAAATGATAATAAAAAATTTAGACGATGTGATAACTAGAAGCATAAGATTGATTTGATAATTTAGAGGTCATATCATTTTCCAAAAAGGTTATACTAAAATCGATAAGTATATTTCAATGGTTTTGTATAATTAATGTCTAAGAAGTGTTTTTTTATCGGTATAATTTCGAGTTATAATAAAATCCGATATACAAAATAAATTTTCCTGATGTATTTCAGTACGAGATTATGATGATTTCAATTTATTGAAAGGTGTTGTTTCATATGGCCGAAATTTTTATTTAAACGGTGAAGCAGGACGTTTGGGATGCTGGTTAGAAATTGCCGATAATAATGAAATCCGCTAAAATATCTTAACAATTTTCATTCCGGATATCTTGATAACATATATAGCTAATTTAATAAATGCTAATGCGAAATGAAGAAAAAGAAAAAAACAAAAGATTCTATGCAATCTTTTTAAAAGTACCAAAGAAGTTTCGGGAAGTAAATTTACCCAATATAGAAATACAGCAATGGAATTGAAATACTTAATCAGAAATTATTATTAGCTTTTGTTGCTGAAGAAATTTGAGCAAAAAAAAAACCATTTGAATTTAGTTTTTTTTAAAAAAAAGGTAATAATTTCCCCAAAAGTTTTCCAATTCAAAAAAATTTTTGAACTTTTTTGCTTTTGTTAATTGAATGAATAAGAAATTTTGTTTCGTAATTTGTGTTCTGAAAATTGAAAAATAAAAGAAAAAATGATAATTAGTGTTAATTATTCGTTCTTATTTTTTTCAATTTCATTATGCATCAATGAATAATTAATTAATTAATTAATCAAATAGGCATATATTACCGAAAACATTATTTGAACGAATGAAGCGAAAAAATTTATCAAATGGCGAAATGGAAGAATTAATGGCTAAACAAAATTATACAATTGTCATTTATTTACATGGTAGTACACATAGTCGGTAATGAGTGGAGAAAATTTAAATTTTAATAATTTGAATTTCAGAAATAAAAATTTCAACAAATTCTCAAACTTAAACAATTCGTTTCATTGTTGATAAAATAAATACGAAAAATGAGCATTTTTGACCAAAAATTAACGACGAAAATGTGGAAAAAAATGCAAAATTTGAAAATGAACATATTGAAATTTGAATTTGATATCAAATTTAATATTTAAATTTGATATCTTAGAAAGAAATTTTTACAAATTTGAAATAAAATTAAAAAAATTTTCGGAGTAGAATTAATATTAAACGGAAATAATTAAGAAAAGTGTAATTACCAGAATAATTAAGAAAGTGTAATTGATGAAACAATTAATATTAAATAAAGGGAAAAAAATAAATAAATTTATGATGAAATAACCTTAAAGACAAATCGTTAAAAATGCATTTGAAAGAAAAAAGAATGAAATTTAAAAATTTTGTCTTTTCTATCGAATAATACTAATTAATATATTTGTAAAAAATAAATGATTAAAAAAAAATAATTAGTTGTTTAAAATTCAAAAAAAAAAAAGAAAACGAAAAATTGTAATGAAATACTTCAAGCGAAAATCCTTTTAAAAATATATTTGAAAATGAGAAATGAAATTTAAAAATCTTGCTTTTTAACATTAATTAACACTAATTAATTTATTAAATTAATGTGTCTAAAAAGTAGTTGATAAAAATCGATTAGTTTTTTAAATTTAAAAAGAAAAAAAACTAATTATATTTTAGACAATGGATTAATCGAGTTGATACATATAAT